TTAATTAACTATGAAAGGATAAATATGTCTTTTAATTTTTCTTATTTTTTAATTAAAAAAACAATTATTCCTATTTTAGTGGACGGTTTCATTGATTTTAATTTATTAATTTTTTTAATTTGAGATCATACGAATATGTCGTTTTAATAACATTGCATTGTCGTCTTATATGTTTCATATGAATTATACTTTCATATGAATGCATTTCAAATGTCATATCACATGAATCCTAATTTCTTTTGATTTCATACCACATGAATCTAAATTTTATACAGCATAACTTTACATCACCGACGAATGCATTTCAAGTTTCATAGAACACCAATTTCTCTTTATTACAATCCCAATTAAAAACACATGATACCAATTTCATATGAATATCAGTTAAAACCCTTTGTTACCGTCCCTATGCCAAAAATGCATATGCATATCACCTCCACAGTCATAACACTTTTGGTTCAAATACCCTATTCATATGAAAACAAAGGTATTTTCCTCGCATGCATCTAAACTTTATATAAAACAACTCGGCATTGATGTTTGAATGCATTTCAGTTTTCACATAAACCCCAATTTGTGATGCTTACAATCTCCTAAGAAAACAGAATATCAAGTTCATATCTTCGAAAAGGAACTTGGATGGGATTTGTCAGTCATGAGCTTAGTCCTGGTTTTTTCAATCGAAGCAGTAACATTTTGTCAACTATGTCCCTCAAATTTCTCTATACGATACTTTGCTTTCAACAAGCATCTTAATGCATTTTCGATTCTATCCTCTTATTGTGTTCAGCATTCCATATGTACCCTTCTCAAGTTAATTTAATAACCAAAATGCGCCAATTTCTTTTCCAACCATTGATCATTTGGATGTGTGGTTTAGATTGGGTTGCATCGGTTACAACCTTTTCAAGGGTTATATACATACACACATACATACATACATATATATAGAGAGGGATGGGTTATTATACAACTCTTTACATTTGTACAACCAATACAATTCAATCTCAACCGTCCATTTAATTTGATGAATATGTGATTTTATAGAATTTTTTATTGTTTCCTAATATAAAGTATTGATCATAATTAATTAACCCTATTCATCTTCCATAAATATTCAAATCATAATAAATGAACTCTCATCATTTCTATAAATATCTCAATTAATTTGGTTGCATTGATTGTACAAATGGACATGGTTGCATTTGAAATATACTCTCTCTCTCTCTCTCTCTCTCTCTCTATATATATATATATATATAGGGTATATTTCTTTTACAACCTTGTGTATTTGTACAACCCTTGCAACCCAATTAATTGAGATATTTATAKAAATRATGAGAGTTCATTTATTATGATTTGAATATTTATGGAATATGAATAGAGTTCATTAATTATGATTAATACTTTATATTAGGAAACAATCAAAACTTCTATGAAATCACATATTCATCAAATGAAATGGACGGTTGAGATTGGGTTGTATTGGTTGCACAAATGTCAACGGTTGTATAATAACCAACCTATATATATATATATATATATAGAGAGAGAGAGAGAGAGAGAGAGAGGAGTCTTACTTTACAAATCACGTTATTTGTACAAATCGGACAAAACTCATTCAACCAATCATAATTTTTTTTCATTTTTTTTGTAATTATGAGAGGTTGATTAATCATTTTTTATTTTGAAAGATGTTAATTATGAATATTATCATCTTCATTATATTAAATTTAGAGAAATATATGAAACAATTTCATTAAAACATAAAAACAACCATATATGAAACAATTTCATAAGATTAAACAATTTTATGAAACAATTTCAGTAAATTGAACAATGAATCGACGAATGAAGGTGGTTTGCACAACTTGTACAAATATGAATTTTTTACATTATATATATATATATATATAGAGAGAGAGAGAGAGAGAGAGGCTTAATCAAATGAGAACTGATTAGTTTGTGGTAACTATGAGAACCAATCTCAATCACAAATCAACGGATAAATTAAGAAATTAATAATTATGGTAGTTTGAGTAAAAATGATAATTAAAGGACATTTTAGGTATTTTTAAAAAAACTCTTATCTCCTCTCATCTCTCTCCTCTCTCATCTCTCATCTCTCATCTCTCCGACCTCCCATCTCTGGCCTCCGGTGAACAAAAATCCGGCAGATACCAAGTAATCACAAAGATACACAATGTGATACTCATTGTGATATACAATGGTACTCAAATGGTATCACGGTATATCACAATGGGTATCACAGTATATCACAATAGGTATCACATTGTGTATCTTTGTGATTATTTGGTACATGCCGGATTTTTGTTCACCGGAGGTCGGAGATGGGAGGTCGGAGAGATGAGAGATAAGAGAGGAGAGAAAAGAGAGGAGTTTTTTAAAAATACCTAAAATGCCCTCTAATTATAATTTTAACTCAAACTATCATAATTATTAATTTCCCAATTTATCCATTGATTTGTGGTTGAGATTGGATCTCACAGTTAAGACAAACTAATCAGTTCTCTCTTGAATGGGCACCTATATATATATATATATATATATATAAGGAGAGGTTGGTTTAAATATTAACCAAGTTTATTGTGTTAACTTTGTTAATCAATCTTGGCCATTGATCTTTGAAATTTGTGGCTAAGATCATTCATAACATAAAGTGTAATTAATTACACACTAGACAAGGTAACATAAGTGAACAATATTTACAAGGGGTATTTTGGGAAAAATATTTTAGTTGTCCATTAATGACAATGAGATGTTTTATAATCGCCCATTAATGACAATGAGATGTTTTGTAACTGCCCATTAATGACAATGAGATGTTTTGTAACTGCCCATTAATAACAATGTAATAATCTGGAAATTTATCTCGTCATCGAATCAAAACCAACAGCAAGATCACAACACCAGATTCTTCTACAGTTTTTTTGTTAATGGTTCATATGTGAACAATTATTCGATATTTATGGGAATTGTTCAAGTGGGAACAAGGGTGTATATGGAAAAAAGTTGCAAACGAGACAAGTGTGCATATATGTCAATCTATATTTGTATTTGACATAAGAGTTCATATATGTAAATTTGTGTTCGTAATTGACACAAGGGTTCATATATGTCGAGTTGTGTTCATATATGTAAAATTGTTCATATGGTCATACATGTTCATCATCTTTCGTATGTTCATTTGTAATTTTGTGTCAATATGTGTTCATATTTATACCAACTGTATATATATATATATATATATGTCAATCTGTGTTCGAAATTGACACAATGGTTCATTTATGTCAATTTGTGTTCATAATTGACACAAGGGTTCATCATATATGTCGAGTTGTGTTCATATAGTTGTACAAATGTTCATATATGTGCATTTATGTTCATATGGTCACACATGTTCTTCATCTTTCTTATGTTCATTTGGATCAATATGTGTTCGTATTTATATCGGGCTGTACATATAGGTCAATTTGTTTTTGTAATTGATACAAGTGTTCATATATGCCAATTTGTGTTCGTAATTGACACAACGGTTCATATATGTCGAGTTGTGTTTATATGGTTGTTAAATGCTCATATGTGAATTTGTGTTCATATGGTCACACATGTTCATCATCATTCGTATATGTCAATTTGAACGACACTGAAAACTTACTATGGATCTCCTCCATCAATCACAAATTCATAAACATTAGAGATAGAAAATCAATATTGAAAATAATAACAACATTAATAATAAGTTAACACAAATCTTGGGATTTTATGATTTTATAACTCCCAATTAATAATATAGGAGTTACATAAAAAATAAAATGACATATGTACCTTTGTCATTAAATTATAAGATGAATATCAACCTAATACTAAGATGTATTATGATTGGTTGAAAATGGTTAATAAAGATAAAAACAATAATTTGGAGGGGACTAATCAAATGATAACTAATTAGTTTGTGGTAACCGTGAGGTCCAATCTCAACCACAAATCAATAGATAAATTAGAAAATGTATAATTTTGGTAATTTTGAATTAAAATTTAATGTAAGGACATTTTAGGTATTTTAAAACCTTCATCTCTCCTCTCTTCTCTCTCCGTCCCCCGTCCTCCGGTGATACTACAATTGTATCACAATGCATCATATATGTGTTTGGGTATCACACTGAGGTCATTTGTGTAGCCGATCGGAGATGTAACACAGTGGTACCCCAATTGGTATTACATTGGGTATCACATTGCATTTTGTATGTATTTTGTGTATCACAACGTGGATGATCGGTATGTATTTCTTAAATTTAGATTATGGATTTGATTTTGTTTTTAAGGTTTGGGTTAGTATCATAGTTGGTATCACAATGATATCACAGTGATACCACAATGGGTATCACAATGATTACTTGGTATCGGTCGAAATAATGTTCATCGGAGATTGGAGATCCGAGGTCGGAGAGAGGAGAGAGGTGAGAGGAGAGAGGAGAGAGGAGAGAAGAGTTTTTAGAAATACCTAAAATGCCTTCTAATTATAATTTTAACTCAAATTACCCAAGTTACTAATTTCCTAATTTATCCGTTGATATATATGTGCTTGAGATTGGATCTCGCAATTAACACAAACTAATCAGTTCTCTTTTAAATGGACCTCGTAATTTTTTTTTGTCTTTCTTTTTTTCTATATCTATATAAAAAAAAGACTATTACCAAAAAGACTAATCCAATCCATAATGATTACCCGAAAATACAACATTTTATTTTTGTGTGTGTGTATATATATATATATATATATATATATATATATGAAAAAGGAAATAGTGATCACATTGCATGGTCACTCTACCCACGTTCCATTGCTCCCTCTCCTACAACCCTTCATCCCAAAGCTACGTACTATATCAACCCCCTTCCACCATTCCCCCTCTCTCACTCCTCCTCTCTTCTCTTCCTCCGCCGTCCACCACCTTCTGCAACACTCAGGAGGAGACATGGATATCTATGGAATGTCGTCATCTGGACAGGATTTCTCCGGCGTTGACGAGCTACTCGACTTCTCCAACGATCATGGCGACCTCTTCGGCGCCTCCGCCACCGACATACTCCACCAGCATCACAACGTTACCGCCGCCTCCACCGCCACCGGCTGCCATTTCCAGTACGGAGTTAACAACGACGATAGTAATAACTATAATAACGACATTGCAACCAACTACCACCACCACTCGACGGACTTCACCGACGACCTATGCGTCCCTGTAAGCAAGCACTCGCCTAATTAATTTCACCTGCTTTTCGCATTTTTTTTAGTTGAAAATCATACCTGAAAATTTCTGATCAAGAAGTATTGCCGTGATTGACACAGATCGGAGAATCGAGCACGATTAATTACGGATCTCTAGCTAACAATGTTGATTTTTGAAGTATTATTGAAATTCATAACTGATTTCTGTTTTGCATGTTTCGATTTGGTTCTAGAGTGAGGACGTGGCGGAGCTGGAATGGCTATCGAATTTTGTTCACGATTCCTTCAGCGATTTTCCGGCGAATAATCTGGCCGGAACTATAAACTACCGTCCGGAAAACACATCATTTCATAGCCGATCTAGAAGCAAAAGAACCAGAGCACCTACCAACAGTACTAGCTGGACATCAACCACGCCGTTACCTACCGCTTCGATCTCCGAAAAACAGACGACGAAGCTAGAGACGTACTCATCGCCGACATCATCGTCTTCGGATACAACATCAGAGGCTGGATTAGTCCGGCGATGCACTCACTGCGCATCGGAGAAGACGCCGCAGTGGAGGACCGGACCGCTAGGTCCAAAAACACTCTGTAACGCGTGTGGCGTGAGGTACAAGTCAGGGAGGCTAGTGCCGGAGTATCGACCGGCGGCAAGTCCGACGTTTGTGCTGACTCAACACTCTAACTCTCACCGGAAAGTAATGGAACTCCGTCGACAAAAGGAAATGGTCCATGGCCAACAACAACAACAGTCACCGACATCTGAATACCAACTCTACGGCGGCGGACACCACCATAACCACAACAACTACGAGGTTTGCTAATGGAAGTTTTCATAATTTCACATCTGATCTCCGATGAAGGATGAGAATTGAAATTTGAGTTTTTGGTAATGTGATGATTATTGATTTTTCTGAATAATAAATTAAATTAAATTAAATGGAATTTGGAATTTTTTTAGGGTTACTTAAATGTTCAACCACCAGAGTCATGACTTTCCACGTGATAAGCTGAGAGAACATGCAACCCTCCCCGTATTTATAAAACTACAAAAAAGATTTATTTTTTATTTATTTTAAAAAAATTAATTAAAATAATCATTTTAATTTCATCTCTTAGAAAAAATAGTCATGGATCAGTAATCACTTCATTTTTTTGAGAAATATTTACCATATGAAAAGAAAAAAAAAACAGAGTGCTTGTTTAAAGAAATGCATTGAGAACCTGACGAACTGAAATATCTTAGTAGCCAAAGAAAAAGAAAGCAAAAGTGATTGGCAGGTCCATAATTTAGGAAAAAGTGAAAAAATATAAAAAAAAAAATTTGAATCAGATCCGCACTTACAGGAATCAAATATGTAAATTAGTTATAGATCGGCAAAAATATGTCCATGTGTTTTTTTAAATTTACATATTTGGTCCCTTCAGTTGCGATCTGGTTTAAAAACTATATTTTTTTTTCTTACAATTTAACCATTCTGTAAATTACGGGCCTATGATTATATTCGTTATTTTGAGAGAAAAAATAACTAAAAAATGGCTATTTTAATTAATTTTTATTTATTTTATTAATTGTTATAAAACTAAAAATTACTCCAACTCTATCCAATGTATCATGGATTTCGTTGAATAAAAATACAATTACATAAAATGATTAAAATATTCCTGAAATTTGGAGTCAAGAATGGGTCGATTCGTATTATATTGTATTTTTTTATATATGTTAAAAATAATTCAGAAAATAATATAAATTAAATTATCGGTATGGTAAAAAAAATATTGAAACCTAAACTTACCATAGTTGGTTAATCGGACGATTTAACCTGCAAACGGGATAACTAAAATCGCTTTGGTTCCAGTGAGTTATTCAGTTTCGGATATATTTTTATACCCCTAGGACCTCCAATCATCTGTGTTTTTGAATATGCCATTGCATTGGTTCTTCAAAATTAGAAAAGTTTTGGGAATTATTATATCAAAATTGAGATGTTTTGAAGGTAATTAAATAAAAAAATGATAAATAATTGTATTTAAATGCATAACATATCTTATATGTGTATAAGCATAGAACATATGTAACTTAGTTGAATATTTTAGGATACTATCCAAAATTTGACAAAGTTTCAAGAATGTCACTACTTTAAAAAAAAAATATGGTCCCCATTCAAATTTGTGTAGGTTTTAAATAGCATGAGATGTAGTATTGTGTAAGACCAAGTCGTGGCAGCTATTGTGGAATAAAGTTTTTCGGAGCATGGTTAAAGACGACAAGTTAGTATATCATATATACATATATATATATATATGTATGTATGTGTGTGTATGTATATATGTATATAGGGTTGAGTTTACGTGAGATAAGGTTGTTTTCGAGATATACGATTTTTTCATTTGAAACTTCACAACATAATGTTGTGAAGGTAATAAAAAAACCGAAACTTCACAGCAAAAACACTGTGAAGTTTCAAGTGTAAAAATCGTATTTCACGTGTCTCACGAAAACAATCTTGTCTCACATGATCCCAAGTCTATGTGTGCACGCGCATGTGTGTGTGTGTATATATATATATATATATATAGTCACATTCATGAGAGAACTGATTAGTTTGTGTTAACCATTAGATCCAATGTGAACCACTCGTTTGAGATATTTAAGGATATTTTTTAAATAAGTTAAAAAGGTAATATACTAATTCTATTTTTGGCAACTAATCAAAATATTTAATTAATTTTTTTAGAAGAAAATATTTAGTTAAAATTAGTTACCTAGTATATCAATTACCTAATATACATCGTATTTTAAAGACGTTTGTGAATCAAAGTGTATCATAGTGATAACATTCATGATGTTTCACATGTATCACAATGTATTTTCTTTGTTTTATGAAATGTATCATAGTGTGCATTTTCGTTATTTTTATTGTTTTACAAAGGGTATCACATTATGCATCTTGTATGTATATTTGGGTATCATAGTGAATAGCGTTTATAGGTATCACAATGTGTATCTTGTGTTCACATAAGATTCATCAAAACAAGGTTCGTCGAATAAGATTAGCCGGAGGGAGGAAAGAGGAGAGGAGAGATGATATTTATAAGATCCCTAAAATGTTCTTAATGAATATTTTAAGTTAAAATTACCCAAATTATTAATTTCATATATATATATATATATATATATACATTCAGTTGTTAAAAACAGGCATTGGATATGTATGATTTACAGTCGTCATGCTGTTGAAATTTCTACATATATAACCTCACCTGTTTTTGTTTTTGTGAACCATAGGAGCGATTTCAATCGCTTAGAGGTGAGTCACAGTCTAGTACCGATAGTCCTCCCCCTAATTAGGCATCTCTTTGGGAGCAGATTGTCGGAGGATGGAGGAGGGTCGTATTTTTGGTTTCGGGACCTCTCATGATCCCTCTTATGCTGTGACGAGTAGATTAGCAATAGCACTGAGAGATCATACGAGTCAACAACAGAGGTATGTTGGTTATATTTTTATCTACTTTTTCATTACTTTCATGGCAAACAAATTACTGATTTTGTCGAACGTGAATATTTACATGTAGCAGAGTTGAGAGAGAAATTGGCGAGGATAGAGGAGGAGGCGTGGGTGCGGGAGGAACACCATATGGCCGAGATGGAGGATGAACAAAAGAAGAGGGCAGATTTGGAGGCCGAACAGGCCAGGCAAGCTGCTGCATTAGTGGAACAGGCCGCCTTATCATAGCATTTTGCTGTGTTTATGCGGCAGTCATGATACGTTTCCCCCCTCCCCCACCTCCACCTCCCGGTAGTTAGATTGTATGAATTTAAACATTAAATTGTAAGAATTTAATATTTTAAATTGTATGAATTGGGTATTTTAAATCATATAAATTGGTTAGTTTTAATTTGTTCACAATTTTGATTTGTTATATTATGGCTAGGTTTTGTATAAATAAATACAGGAATTATGTAATTATAAAAAAATTATTTTTAGATTAATAAACATTTGAGACAGATTAGCGAAGGAAAATTCGTCGCTGAAAGTTCCCTTGCTGATCTGTCGCTGAAATTTCTCTCGTTGATCCGTTGCTGAAAGTTCTCTCGTTGATCCGTCGTTGAATTTGTTCTCTCGCTGATCTGTCGCTGAAAGTTCCCTTGCTGATATGTCGCTGAAAGTTCCCTCGCTGATTTGTCGTTAAAAGTAATCCTCGCAAATTTGTCGCTGATTTCCGTCACTGATCCGTCGCTTATAGCATTACCTACAAGCTTTTGACCGACGGACTATCAGCGACGGATCAGCAACGGAATACCCTTTTAACGATGGATTTGCGAGGGAATTTTCTCTCGCTGATACTCTTTCTTTTTGTAGTGGTTACCTCTATGGTAGTCTACACACAAACACGTTTTCTAACCTTCATCAGGTGCTAGCCCAAAACCACTAGATCTATATGTTTTACAAAAAAGAATAGGTTTTCTTTATGTATTTTATCTGATAGCTAAATCTAAAAGATTCAATCATATTTGATTTAGCTTATCACCTTATTTCTATAGACCGTCTTATAGTTATTCCATAATTGAAATAAGATTTTAGTAATTATTTGTATATTTATATAATTTTCTTAAACTTTAATATAATTATATACATGGGGTGGGTTATTTTACAAACCATGTAAATCTAACAAACCGTACAAACCTCATACAATCAATCATTTTTTTAATTTTTTTTCACTTTTTCTGAATTATGAGGTTTGATTAGTCAATAATATATGAAACAATTTCCTCAATAATATATGAGGATTGATTAATCAAGAATATATAACACAAACCTCATCAAAATGAGAAACACATTAAACAATTTCATTTTCACATAAAACCAAAAATATATTAAACAATTTTACAAAGAAAAGAATTATATGAAACAATTCCATCATATTAAACACTTTCATTAAACAATTTTATTCAATTAAACAATGAACCACACGGTTTGTTAGATTTCACTGGTTTGTAAAATAACCTTGGCCTTAAATACATTTACATATAACACCCAGTAATTATCATAATTACACTTTAACACATATTTTTCATAAATATCCTTCAAGATTAATTATTTCAATAATCAACATGATTTAGCTTAGGTTTCTGAAAAAAGAGGCAAACGTGTTCTTGGGTTTCTGAAAATTGAGGCAAATGTATTCTTTGTGTGCTACCCATAGGTTTACATACTCCTTGACAGTATTTATGTGTGAAATATTTTGTGGTATATAATAACTTACATTCTCCCACTTGTACACGATACACGGTAACACAAACGATGGAAGGGTCTAGCAACACATCACTCCCCCCAAGGCTACGTAAATGTGCCTTTCCTTGAGCAATTTGATTAATCTAGTCAATAATATGGTAGAATCATTCGTTATCCTCCTACTTCATGATATTTTGTTTTAAAATTAAGGCATAGACCTATGTCATCCTTTATAGTTCAAAATTATGTTTCTCGATCTCATCATATTTTTTTATTAGACAAGTGTTATTAGCTTACTAATCCCCTTTTCCATGGCCATGTTAATCGAACTATGTTATCGAGGGGTCCAAAAAATATATCTCTCATCTTGAGAGGACCAAATCTCATATTCCATGTACATAGAAACAAATTCACGGTATACCCAATATAGTCGTTATGATTACCAGTTAAGGGTAACACTAGACTGTGTCAAAGTATAACACTCCTTATGCATTAGGTCCCAATGTGCATATAAGGTTTGAGGTTAAGAGTATACATCATTTCAAGACTCACCTTATGATGTCAATCTATGAAGTGATCCTGATTGT